TACCTCAAGTATGCCGAATTTCACTTAAATAGTTTATCGCCAGTAGGATGTGAATTGCAAAGGCTACATAGCTTTGAGAGAAAGCAAAGAGACACGACCAGTTGGATGATTCTTTAGATCTTCTTTAAACAAGTAATGAGGTGGCCAAGTCTCCAGACGGGAAACTGTTTCCAGCTCCTGGATATCTCGACTATACTCTTGAAATTCGAAAGCCGGTATTTTACAGGGGTATTTGCGATTTCCAGAATCTCTTTAACTTGTTTGATGAGTTGCAACATCAGGCCAATAAAGTCTATCGATACGATGTTTGATTTCGAGACCCGTATATGCAAAAGTAAATTTCCCAGAAGCTATTAGTACAAATGGCCACTATTTTCTGAGCTCTTGGGAGAGTTTTTCAAGTATTCGTTTCATAGATAGAATAAAAACTCTATTTTTCCCATTAGTCTTCACCCGGCTGCAATACGGACAACTTCTCTAATGGCGATGTCAAAGTACAGTCTTTTAAATGTGGGAAAAGAAGTCATCGGAAGTAAGCATGCTCGTATCTTCTAGTCGGAGAAGACAGAAAATGTACACTTTCCTGAGGCAGCATATAGAAGTTATAATTGCATGGGGTGGATCGCAGTTGTCGCTTTTGTCAAAAGTGATATGTAGAGTCTCTTGGGGATTTGTGCTTTCGAAGACGCCTTAAGTCGTTGGAAGAAATAGTCTAACACAGAAATGTAAATAATCCTAAGGGAGTTACTTCCTGCTCGTCTGATGCAGAACGTAAAGCATCCAATTTCGGAGACTCCAGTGTTGGACCGACGGGGCCAGAAAATTTGCACGAGTGAAGAGGCGCTATCCGGGGAGTTAAACGGCGCGGCTCTTCAGCTACCCTTTTGGCGAGGCTCCGGCCATCTCGAAGAACCTCGATGATTGCGGCGGAAGTGGAGTCATGCTGGGGCCGCAGCTCTGTGCCCTCGGTAATGCATGTGGTCTTGACTTTATCAAAAATAAAAACAAAATATTTTTTCAAATATAAGAATGCATAAAAGTGTGAACATATAGAATTTGGTATGCAAGTTAAATCACTTGTATATGGCCCTATAGATATCGAAGAAAACAAAGAATCAACGCAAGAAAAAGACAAATTAACTAAAATACCAGAGCCGCTTTGCAAACCCCTCTCTTCCCACTCGAACGGAATACAGGGTTTCTCCAAGGTCCTCCCACTTCTTTCAGAATTGTTTGCCCAAATCCGTCTCATACACAAAACCATCCAGTTGCCTACAATTCGTGAAGATACGAGAGTTTGGGAAAAAATAAGAATGAGCCGTTTATACACTGTACACATGCATGCAAATTCCCTTTCATAATAAGCAAATACAGCCATAAGTTGATTACATGAAGTAGACTAAGCTTTGTATTTGTGGCAAAATGCATAAATTAAGCCACTCCTAGTCCCAATAGGATATCTGAACATTGCAAATCTTTGACACCGCTGATCAAGTATAAGCTAAAGTGTTACCAAGAGAGTATGGAGATAGGAAGGGCAATAAAGTAAGCCAAACAGATGTATGAAGATCTGGGGGAACGGAATAAACCCAAATGAAAGAGGGAATAATTAAGTTAAATTTGAATGAAAGGCTATGGGTATCACTTTGTCCCATCGACGAAATTTAAACGGTTTTCGATAACGTCTAGGTGGCGCAGCCGGATACTTTTGTGACAATAGGGAGAAATTTAGTAGTATTGGACAACATTTCAGTCCAAGTTAAAGCCTGTGATTATGGGATGCAGAGATCGATATTAATCGAGTCATCCTCCGATTTTTTTACAGTAAGGTCTCCATATTCTGATGAAATCTGCCAGATTCATACATAATTCTGATGAAAAATCAAGGCAACGGCTGAAAAGGGAAAAACCAACTAGCTTAGTAATGAAAAGCCAGTTTTTCTGCAAAATCAAATTCACAATAATACACTTCGAATCCAAG